CGCGGAAGCTTTGACGTTTCCTTAAATTATTAGAGAAAGAAGACGATTCGTTGTACCGTTCTCGACTCGTCTAAATTAAATCTTCCCCTTCCGCGCGAAGCGCGGAATCTTTGGCGTTTCATCACAATATAGAGAAAGGAAAACGATTCGTCGTACCGTTGTTGACTTTTAAACTTTGTTTGAATTTAGTTTCCCCGAAAATGTTAAACCTCTGATTTCTTTAGCTGATATTATAGGAAAGTGAAACTTTGAGAAAAAATACAAGTATTGTAGTTGTAGTCACTCTCGAAGTCGTCACAGCGAATAAAAAGTCACAGTTCGTAGGGAAAAAAACTTGTCAGCCGACCGACCGACAATATACATCTCACCGACTTCAAACTTCTGCATTGATATTAGTAAACGAGGATCGAGCAAGAACACCGACACAGCTGACCCGACACAGCAACATATTTGACCGTGTCTTTCTTGCTCCCTCGACGAGACGACTCCACCCAACAACCCCCTTCTCTCTTTTACTCCCACTCCTCCTCTCTCAGGCTCTTACCTCCCCTCTCTCTCCTCCGTTTCTTTTGTTTCCCTTTTACTCTTTTTTCTTCTTTTTTTTCCTTTTCGTTTTTTTCCTCTTCTCTCTCTCTCTTTCTTCTCTTTTCTTTCCTTTCTTTTCCTTCTTTCCTTTCTTTTCCTTTCTTTCTTTTCTTTTCCTTTTCTTTTTTCCTTTCTTTCCCTTTCCCTCTCTTTTTTTCCCTCCCCCTTTTCTATTTTTTCCCGACGGCAGCGCAATTTTACCGACGCCCCTGCATGTCCAGTATGTACTGTAGATAATCAAGGAAATATTTATTTACCCTACATGAATGAACCCAGTACAAGTAAATAATGTGGTGAAGAAAAAGGCTGGTGATTTTTATTGTAATGTTTTCAAAGTTACGAATCAGCAATCAAACAGTTGAAATATCATGAATCTATGTAAATCTTACTGTTTGCCCATAAAAATAGTGATTTGAATCATCCAAACATAGAAATCATAATCATAATCATTATCGATTTTCATTTCCATTTTTGTATTGTCTGTCTGTCTGTCTGTCTGTCTTAACCCTGGTCAGAACAAACCTTATTTTTTGTATGGGAACAAAATGTAACAACAGGTCTCATGAATGGGACCATTGTACAATACATAATGTACATGTACTGTACATGTATGTAGTTGCAAAAAGCATGAATGCACTTTCTTATGCATTTTATATAACATGGACATTGTATAGTATGTACTGCACAACATAGTCCCAGACATCCATGAATAATGTCTTTTCACATACTACCAGTGAATACATTACCCTTAAGATCTAATGGAGAGGGATTATGTATGAAGCGGGTCGCACAGTGGGAGTTCCCTGCTACATTTAACCAAGATTATCCCAACATTAATATCAATCAGTGGGGCAGTGACGCTGACAAAGGCATTGCCTAAATTGAACATTTCTATCTACACCGTGGGTGGAGGCTAGTATAGAATGAGTCATTGCTTTGTCAAAATATGTACAAAGGAGGCAAGGAGCTATAGCCTAGAGAAAACTAAAAGAAGAGCTCTGGTAAAAAAAGATAATAATATTGTACTTCTGCTGCAGGAGAATATCATTAAAGCAGATTAAACAATAAACAACAAGCAAGTAAAAAGGGGGGGGGGGTGGATAGGGGGGTGGGGGCTGCAGTAAACCACAACGATTGATTATACACAGCACTGCAATTATAGTACATGCGAAAACAAATCTTGTGTACAGTGATGCTTTGAAAGAAACCTGTATCAGGCTTTGACGTAATACGAGTAGACAGTGAAATCAACTCGCCATATACATTTTTCAATGTTCCTTGCCAATTCCAGCAGATAAAGGTCCACCATTAACAAGTCGGTACAGATTGATCTTTGCGAAAGTGTCTGGTTTTTCAGAACATTATGTTTATACAGAGTATGCGCAGGAATAATCCAGAGTCTTCATGCATCTTTGAGCACTGGCAGATATTAAACTATGGGGTAGGGATCTGGCCTGTGCCCCGCCCCCTTTTGAAACCCAATACACAGCTCCAAGAATGTTACAAGTCCTCCCCCACCTCCTCCGCATTAGGGGCAGTTACACTGTCATCCAAACACGCCAAAAAATGCCAAACCGGAGCCTGGCCGCGATGTTACCAAGGGCAACTACGCTTTACCGGCAGACATGCCAAGCCCCAAACATTCCAAAACGAAGTGTGATCTTTTGGCGTGTTTTGGCGTGTTTTGGCGTGTTTGGCAAGTATAACCGCTCGCAGTTGTAACATCGCGATGTTAGGCACGTGTCTTCCGGCACTTCCGGATTGTTACCCGCGCTCTTTTAAACCACGTTCTTCCCGTGTGATATTTATAGCATTTCCATCGTCGCGCGTGTTATCCGTTCATTCAGCTCCGTTTGTTCCAATTCCGTTAACTCATCCTTTATTCAATCTTCGTTATTCCCGTCTGGCCATATCTGTCTAGTAGTAGTATTTGAGTGTTTTGTTAGATTAATTAATTAATCGACGTCGGCGAATTCTCATAATTCCAATTAACAACGATGATTTTCTTAACCTTCCCATATCGTTTTTACTACTAGATTTCGATTGAATTTGGGAAAACTGAATCAGCAGCCGTAAGCCGTACTTCGTAACTTATCCACTCTTGCCTCAAATACTACACGCGAGATAAACAAAACATATCGCATGCATGCGCATGGGATGAATCGCTATTTAGCTAGCTATAGCGCTAGCTGGAAATTGCGCGCGCTAAAAATCTTATAGCAGGCCGGGGTCAAAGGTCGGGAAGACTGCACATGCGCATTACCAACCGAAACACGCCAAAACATCGCTGAACAGCTCCGTCGGTGATGTTTCAGCACAAGTGTAACCGGGTGCACGAAACACCGCGACTTTTCAAAATGAGGTATTTGACAGTATAAATGCGCCTCATGATGACCTTTTGTGACCCTTTTATTTTTATTAATTTTTGTCTGAAAATTTTAGAAATATTGCATTCCCCCCCCCCCCCCCCCGTTTTTTTTTAATTAAAAAATCCTGCATCCACATCTGTCTTTTAGATACATTACTGTGTCTAATAGCACCATGATGTGCATTAGCTTTAATAGTATTAGTGTTGATGAATGGCAACAGATGATGACTGGCTCAGTTCCTGTTTCATTCATTTCGTTTGCACCTCAGTAATCATCTGTTAGAAACAGAAGGGCGTTAACTCAGGTAGGTAAAAAAATGACATACTGTAAGTACAATGTAAATGCCCTTCTGGCTCCAAACAAACATTGTACATGTATCAGGCATGTTTCCGTTGGTTAAAGTTTTTATTCAATCTATCTCTCTAATTGTAATACAGCGATATTAGTGTGCTCACAATTAGCTTTCACAAGAACTACTACATTGTGAAGTCCTAAGCAAACAGTGGGCTACATTTACCATTAAGCTAATGGGGTATTAAACTCAAGCAAATATCCCAAGTTTAAAACTACAGCTAATTCCTAAAAGAGCCGCTATTTGGCCAATTAGCAGACTAATTTGCCAGTAAAGATGCACTTGGGTTGCGAGTCAGATCTATACTCAAACTACATGTACTGTACGTACATGTACATGTAGCCCAAGCGGGCAGGGGTTGATGGATTTGCCCACATGGAGAAGAAGGGCTTGGTCCATTCTTTTTTAATGCTCATCAGTTTTAACATCTAAAGCTCAAGTTTGCACCAGCTATTGAGGATGCGTCAATTGTATAATGCTCAATATCTATATTTTTGTATGACAGACTGACAGTAGTCATAATAATTTAATAGGACTATTCAATTAAATGATCATATCTTCTTTGGACCAAAACAAAAGACTAAACATGATTATTATTACAAGAAATTTAAAAAACTGACACCAATAATAAAATACCTGTATTAAGTATTAGTTAATAAAAATGAAATAATGATGATGATGATAATGATTATGATGTTGCTGATGGTGATGATGATAATCTTGACAGGGGGGAAAATACACAGGGGCTTGGGGTGTGATTATGGTGATGAAGATGATATGATGATGATAATGATTTTTTGTTGTTGTATGTACAGTATTTTGCCATTGCAAACAATGTGACCAGCAGTCCTTTCAAGGAGAGCCCCAAAAAATCCAATCAAATTGCTTTCGCTGCTGCTCAGATGATGTTATAATAATAATAATAATAATAATAATAATAGCCTAATAGTCCACTCCAAATTTTATTAAACCGAAACGGAAAATCTTTTTGCCCAATTGATCGTGAGCCCGGCAGCCACTGAGCAGCGCCAGATCGACGTTGCTCTATCCCTTATTGTTGAACGCCAAACAATGTAGCAACAACTCCCATCTTTATGTATCACTAATCTATTAAAAAACAAGATTAACTAGCCTTTTCTAACACACTTAAAATAAGAAATTTGTGGAGACTACAAGCTCTTCATGCTCAAGCCTCTGAGCAATTTAATGCTGGGAGCCTAGTAAACAATTAAACACAATGACTGGGAAACATGTCTGATGGACATGAAAATACATGTTCATTCATTAATGTTTCAGTCAAATTGATGAGACTGCCATCACACTGACGCCAGACAGACCAAGTTACCCGTTATGGCCAAGGTTCAGTTGATATGCAGTCGCTATGGTAATGCCACTGAGGCATTACATACATGTATGTATGTGACATTTGTAACTGACAAGGAGGCTGTTCACACCGGCAGAGATAGCGCGCGCTAGACTGCGCTATCTCTGCGGTTTGGAAGGTACAACGTCGTTTCAGTCCGCCCAACAGCGAGCCACGGCAAGCCAAAACGGCGTGCCACTGGAGCACCTCTTGGGGGTGGTCCACGAGAGATAGCACGGTCTAGCGCGCTACATAAAAGGGGGTTCTACGATAGACCGCGCTCATTGCGGTGTGAACAGCCTCAAGGATAATGTTTGCAAACATTACTCACCCATCCATGCGTACATCAGGCAGTGTTCGGTTGATTGAGATCATATCACTGGCTAACAAATTGAACTGATTGATCCTAAACATCTCGTTTTTGAGCGATTCCTTGTCCTGGGGTATGATGACAGCTTTACCCATCTCTCCCGGCCCATTGGGGTCGTGCCGGGGCTTGGCAGGTGGGTGCTTGGGAGGGGCGTGTTCATGCCCTCCTGGAGTAAATGAGAAGAAAAACAGAGGCAGTGATTACTGGCCAATGAAGTAAGAAAATCATAACAATGCCTTGCAGAAGGGTGCAAATTAGAATTGGTATACATATATTTTTTCACCTTGTATCAGATCTTGAGAGGTGTGTCATTGTCAAATGATATTTCCTCATATTATGGAGCATATCTTTAATTTTCTAGAGCTAATTTTAAACAAAGTTTCCAGAATCCAGAGTTACAAGTAAATATGTACACTGTACATTTGTACAAATGCAAATTGCTCTCTAATTTATCAATTTTATGCTGGATTTATTCATTCACGTCATCCACAATGTATCCCAAATTTGAATTGAGATCTTAATCAATATTGCCCTCCTTGGGAAACTTTGTATCGCCTACACAGTTCTGTCACAAACATAATGTAATTTATTTGGCTTTGTAGCTTTCTATTTCATGTCCCTGCGGTGGGGGACATTTCTGAGAAAAATAACTCTGTAACCCTGTAACCCACAATGTCTGACTTTCATTTTCACCTACATGTATATTAATCATGAATAGATCTTTGCTGGTGGTGATACACGTGGGAAAATGACAAAGCACTTAGTAAATTGGACTGAAAGCTATTTGCCAGTTAATAAATGAATTGCACAGATGTGTGCATTGTATTCATGGACATGTAAAGGCCTGCACATGTTTTTGAAAACACATTTGAAAAGAGGGATCGATAGAACCACAATCAACCTTTCAATCACAGCCTTTCAGAATGGAAGCCTGGAATTCATCCCATTTCAAAACAAGTTTAGTATAATCTTCACATTCATCACTATAAATAAAAGAAACTGATTGCAAAGAGGCAAGTCCTCTGTATTTGGTCATTCAGTGTATATTTTGGTATCTCAAAAAGTACAAATCGACACCAAAACATTATTGTGCCTAATCCAAACTCTACATGTAGTATGGTTTACAGTACACATGTTTTGTATCACTACAATCCTCAGATACTGATATCTAAAATTTAACTACATGTAGATGTATGATCAGTAAGATATTTACTTGAACAATATATGTATAAGACACTATAGCTTGAACTTACCCAAATACAGTTGATAACTACTACCTGTAATTCATTCATACCCTTCCCAAGTATTGAAAACTTCAAAGTATGTAAAAAATTGATTTTTTTTTTTTTTTTTTTTTTTTTCTTCTTTTTTTTTTCTTTTTTTTTCTTTCCAGATTGATGATTCTTGAGAATGAAGCAAAGGCCTAGTTTAACCAGTCCACCTTTCATTCTTGAGTAACAAAAAATATTTTAAAAAGTATCAAATAATATTAAAGGGGTATGAATAATTCAGTTGTTACATATCTAACTGTACATCAATGAGCTTGGAAATAGATGGGACCCGCAGGTCTCTACTCACCCTCTATTTCTCTGGGCACACCGTGGTCTAAGGCCTGGTTGTTACACCTTGCATCACCATTGCATTCACTATAGTACATAATCAGCATGACATCCAATAGAAACCAGACCATGGAGGTGGCCAGCACCACCTTACAATACACAAGCCTCCTAGCCATGGTTCCTCAACAGATGATCACTCACGCTGTCAGGTCGTTCAAGCTGCTTCAGATGACACTTCCTAGGATGACGCGAAGACGTCGCTAGGATTGCATATTCCAGGATGTTCTTTACGGGGGGAGGACAGTGATCAAGTATGCTCCTTTGAGTCCTTTCTGTATTTTTTGAGAATTATTCCTTTGTATCAGCTTGCTCCCTGCTTTAATTGATATCCTTGTTTAAACAACACTTTGAGCAACGACACGAAAGTGTCACTAGAATGGCATATTCCAGGATGTTCTTTGTGGATGAGGAAACGATTGAGGGATCCAGCGAGCTTTAGCCCTTGGCTCTATTTGACGGGGGAGTATTTCCAACTCTTATTTGCTGCTTTGTTCATATGACACTTCCACTGAATATGCTAAGAAGTCACTAAGATTGCAGATTCCAGGATGTTCTTCGCGGGGGAGGAGGACGATCGTGGGATCTACAGAGCTTTGTATCTGCGGGGATGTATTCCTTAATATCCAACAGGGATTTCCGCTGGCACCATCAATCACTATTTAATGATCTCAGGAGTTTGATGTATCTAGGCTCTTTTCCTTTCCTACCTCTATCTTTTATTCAGCAGGATATGGGTTGTAGCTTAATTCCTAGACATATCACTAATCCAATCTACAAGTAGCAGCCTAATAACGTCATGAAAAATTCATCACTGTCTACAAGGCTTTAAACTGGAGTGTTGTAAACAAAAAATTACATAAGACCCAACCTTTTTGGATAATCAATCAAATTTGATGTAGAAAATCCATTAAAAGCTAGTACTTTTGAATTTTGATAGTACTCTATTTATCCTACAGAGCTTTAACACAGTAATTAGTGTGAGGAAGTGTTTCGTACACCCAGTAGCTGATGAATGAGGTAATGTGCTTGATGTGACTCACGCTAATTGCGGCGCCACGCTCTGCCCTAATCCCGCTAGCTAGCACTGCTTCTGGTTTGGGAGCTACTGCATGCAGGCAGACGGTGTTACAGTACTTGGCTGGAGTATTGACAGAGACAATGAACTTGAGGTTACGAGGATACTTAAGAGTACTGGTGGGGCTCCCTCTACACAAGGTGGGACGGGGTCATCATCTCCCATTGGCCAGATGGTGGTCACATGATCAAGGGAATCCTCCGTAGATTAGAGTCATGTTTCTGAGATCATGCCTAGACGGGATACCCCTCTCTCTCTTTCTTGTCTTCGGAGTCCAGAGTCCGTCAGCTGCACCTGTGTTTGAGAGGGAAGACGAGAAGAGAAACAAACTTGGTCGTGAAATACTGGAGACTTGGTGGGGTTTGCACTAATTCCTCGTCTGCGCACACCCATCACATTCTTGCATGTACATGACATGACATGGATTGTTCGATGTTGAGCGAGGCCCTCTTCCTCTATCTCTCCCTACCTCTCTTTTTCTCTCTAGTCCTCCCACTTCTTTTGTTATACTCTCTCTCTCTCTTCCTCTCTTTTGTAAGCTCTTCTGTATCTTTCTATCTTTCTCTTTTCCTCTTTTTCTCCATACTGAATCTCTCATTCCCTTCCTTTGACCCCCCCCCCCCCTTCTCTCTCTCTCTCTCTTTCTCTCTCTCTTTCGTTTGCTCTTCTCTATCTTTGTATGTCAACCTTTCTCTATCTTTCTATCCTTCTCTCTCTCTTTCTCTTTTTCTCCATACATGTACTGAATCTCTCATTCCCTTCCTTTGACCCCCCCCTTCTCTCTTTCTCTCTCTCTCTCTCTCTCTCTCTCTCTCTCTTTCGTTTGCTCTTCTCTTTCTTTGTCTGTCAACCTTTCTCTATCTTTCTATCCTTCTCTGTCTCTTTCTCTTTTTCTCCATACTGCATCACCCATTCCCTTCCTTTGACCCCCCCCCCCCCTTTCTCTCTTTCTCTCTCTCTCTCTTTGGTGCTCTCAATTCCTCGCTCTCCCCGTCTTTTCCTACCTCTACCCCCCCCTTCCTTTCAACAACTAACAATATCCTCCCTTTTCCTTTTAAAAGTACACATACTGTACATTCGATACCAGGAAATTGTAACAATCACATAATGTGTACACTAAAGTACATCTAACATAAAATGTTAAATTGTTTCTCTTCATACAAAATTGCTCTGCTCCACATGTACAGTACATGTATTTAAAACTTGTTCAGATAGCATGATGGTTTGAAGGGGAAATGCATGTCATGAATACATGTACATGTAGCAGACCTACATGTACTGTACCGATAAGCGCATTCCCTTATACATTGCAGCTGGTAAGGCAATACAGTGTATGACAAATGTATAACTTTATGATATCAAATTCATATTTTGTGATAAAAATGCTTTGAGACAGTACATTGGTTATCTTGATTTTGTTTAAATGTGATTCCTAAAATATTAGAATCGAAACCTTCAACAAGTATACATGTACATGTTTAATGTGAAGAATTTTCTTGCTTTGCAATTTGCATGTTGCTACATGAAGACCATGGAGACCATGTAGACCACGTAGACCTACAGTGTACATGGAGATCCATTTCTTTCACTTCTCCCCACGAAGCTATTCTACAGGTTCTTTAAAGTTCAATCATTCAACTTCAGAGCACACAGAATAAAAAGAATATTATTTCCATTCATAACTGGCATCTGGGTCACTGCACTGTGCATGTATACACATAGCAATATATACTGTACTTGTATCCTTTAACATTCTCAATCTTGTTAAACTGGTAATCACCTACAGTTATGTACACATCTACATCCTGTTCTGCCTGGAGACTGAACATTTTAAAGGGGAAGTCCACCCTGATAAAGTTGGTTTTCTGATGCCACAACATAGTCTAAGTTTGTTGACCTGAAATGACCTTTGACCTTGACTTTGTGACCTGAGATTCTACTCACTTGATTGGGGATACTAAATGTAGATAACCCTTTAGTTCAAGTTTCATTGAATAGAAACTTATTGATGTTGACGCCGCCGCCATCACTGGAAAATCGGCGCCTACTGTACAGTATGTCTAGCTTTTTGCTACGCAGGCGAGTCAAAAATCATATAAATTGCATTTAATTTCAATTCTCTTGAATGTGTTTGCCTCAAATCTGACTACCGGTAGTCCAAGCCTGTACCCATAAAATGCACATAATGCACATGAATTGCTAAATTTTCATTTTTACCTTATGAGCAAATGTGATGTAAACAGCAAACATACTTGAAAATGCTTCTTGGCTCAACCACAAATGTGAAACTGAAACTTATTACAATTTGAAGACAATTTTCAAAGAATTGGTGGTTGTTTGTTCAAATAACGACATTGTACAATTTGTACAATGTACACAGAACAGCCTAGACGGACCAAAGTTCATAAGACACACCATACAGAAGCTTTTGCATTACCATGATGATGATCTTTATTGGTGTATGTACAGGTGTAAGTACAAACATAACCAAAATCAAATTTCAGTGGTCAGTAGAGTTGATCACAATAATTTTAAAGGTTACCAGTCATTTAATAAAGTAATTTGTGTGCAGGTACATGTACATGTAGACTGTACATGTGGTGTACATATCAACCTCAAACTCACCTGGCATTATTATGTGCTACATAAAACATTGATATACAGTAGGCTTACGGTTGCACAATGTGAGAGAGAGGAGAGAGGGGGGAGGATTGGGGAGTCCTGAAAAGGACTGTTGGTAATAACATTGAGGTACCAGCCAAACATAAAACCCTGCTCACAGAACCCAAGTCTGATTTCATGCAGGCCAGCTACATGTAGGTTCTACTGTATACTGAGTCATTCTGTACAGGTGCATTGACTTTTTAAATCCAATGTTGCTTTCATGATTCTTGAGTAGAAGTAATATTTGAAGTAGTTAATTTGAAGATTAGCAACATCGAAGAAACAAAAAATATTAATCTGGATTTATATCGCGCTTAATACGAAATACCGTCTCTAAATGCGTTACAGATATTATTACCAGTATTTTTATCACGGTTCATGAAATTCGGTCACGCACAATGTGCACCATTTCCATTTCATTGGAAGTGGTTATCATGACCATGTACAATGTACAGTATGGTCACCGTGAGGGCATTTGGCAATTACTAACACAAGGCTTTCATCATCCTACCAGGTCCCCATTCCCTTGCCATAGGACATAATTTATATGTACATGTAAGTGCTGTGTCAGGAATTGAACCCATGACCTTTGTGTTTCTAGTCATTGCTAAACCACTCGAATACCATTACAGCACCTCTAAAATTATAAGCATCATATGTTTTGGTGATTGGTGTACTTTCAAACTCCAAGCTACATACCCCCTGTCCACACACAACATTTTCCGTGATTAGTTATACCGTTTCGCGATAGTGATACCGTTTCGCGATAGTTTTACGATGAAATTGTGTGTGTGGACGCTCACTAACGATACGTCGTATAAGAGGTCTGGTCTCCTTTCGCTCGAGGTCACGTTAAGCCCCGTCCAGTTAGTTACACTAGTTACACTCCCCCTGTCCACACACAACATTTTATGTGATTAGGCGTGATTAGGCGTGATTCTTTATAAGAGTTTCAGTTCGAAACGATACCCAAACCTGCGTTTCGTTAGACTAGTTTCGTTATACGACCTATCGTTAGTGAGCGTCCACACACACAATTTCATCGTAAAACTATCGCGAAACGGTATAACTAATCACGCCTAATCACGGAAAATGTTGTGTGTGGACAGGGGGAGTGTAACTAGGGTAACTAACTGGACGGGGCTTAACGTGACCTCGAGCGAAAGGAGACCAGATCTCTTATACGACGAAACGGTATAGCTAATCACGCCTAATCACGGAAAATGTTGTGTGGACAGGGGGTTTGTCTAACATGTAATTGCACATCTAAATATTCAGTATACAAAGGAGCATACGATAACAATTGCAGGCCCTTCTAGAGATGGACCAGATGCACCATCTAGTACAAACCTTAAAACATACAATCTATACTGTACATGTATTTACAAAGTATAAAATACCACAATGTTCATATTACTAGTACTAGTACACAGCATGGTATAACCATAGACGTAATACGAATACTAAATGTACAGGTTGGATACTTTAAAGGTACTATTTTTGCAGCCAACTTCAAATTCTGTAGAACTTTGCAGGAATTATGAATATGTCATGTACATGTATGTCCTATCTGTGAAATTTAAACGTTAGCAGTGTCCTCATATTCAAATTATGCAAGGAAACCTGTTTACTTGCTAGACTTCACTGTCAGACACTATTGAGTAACTGGCTGGCTTTTTTTCTTCTTTGGTAATAACATACATGAAAAGAGTTGTAAAGGGTACATGAGCACTTGTCTACATCAATAACCCACTTCTTGTGATGGCCAAGATTAAACTGATTGAATCTTTGTGCAGCATAAAACGTATGACCATTCGGTACAATTGTCTGAAAATCAAGACTATTACTTTTGGGCTCTATAGCCCTAAAGTCGATTTGACAACTAATAGTCGTTATTTTCCCACTTGAAGACATTTTCAAGCCCCACCTTTTTTAGGGAAGTTCTAAATTAGTATTATCTTTTAAATGCAGTTGGAATTTAACTTTTTCATTTTTTTGGCCTGCAAATGGGACATAGTACCTTTAAACAAATTGGATGACCAAATACCTTGGACTTGCTTCTTTTAAATGATTTTCACCAGTAACATAACAAGCACTGTCAAAATAATTAATATTCATCAGGGTCCTGTTTCATGAAACTTTTTATCCATAACAAATTATGCAAATTATTTAAAGTTCTATGACAAATTTGCTCTCAGCCAATCAAATGCCAAGATTTCAGTAGCTTATTAACAGTTATTGTAACTTGTTATTGACATCAGTTATTAAGAATCCAGGGCTCAGGTTGTCATGCTATCGCTTGAAAGCCAATTATTGGACTCTACATTAAACTGGTGGACATCATATGGCGGCTTCCTGCCTTACTAAGTAAAATGAGACCAACATTTCCAGAAATGCACTTACAATTTGTAATTGGTTAGTGAGCACTTGCCTCTGATGGACACTAAATAGGTACTGGTAATGTACAGTACATGTATACTGTATGCATGGTACAAGGCAAGTAGTCTATCCATTATCATGATAAACATCCTCCTTTTCTGCGACCATAAGGCCCTTATATCGGTAACTCAATATTAAGTTCCCCGTTGCCCGTTATGATTTTTTACCTGCATTTGCGTTAGAAAATCTAA